CAAGTACAAGTACCGAAGCTTTGAGGTTTACCCTGGTACCCAGTACCATAGCAATGCTTGAAAATCCCCACCCGGGGAGACATATTGCATGATCCGCCACCACGGTCGGAAGTTCCCGGGGATCCACCGCTTATTGCGATGGTAGGCGGCTGGCAGGAATCTGCTCGTAGCTTGTGTGGGCGGTGGACTGATCTTCTTCGCTTACCCCTCTGTGTCTGGAGCTCCCCCAGTCTTAGTAACTGACCAGGCACAGCAACAGCAACGCGGTATCTATTGATGTAGGAACTGTTATGTATGCTATTTCTGTGCACACTTGCTTTCATTGGGGCTGCTTCTTCAGTGGGTGTCTTCTTAACCAACAACCAATCTCCCGGAAAAAAATTCCTTGACACTTGTTTCGAGTAATAACCAAGGAGCATCTTCATTGGGTTTTGTACACCCTTGCAAGGCCCCTTGGTCCGACGCATACCATACTCAAAGCGCCTAACTAGCAGACTTTCACGGGAGGGTATCCACGCTGTTCAGGGTGCGCGGTCCATGGTGCACTAGGTGTTTATGCTTTATCTCGCGTTGCAAGACCCAACCGTCGAGCCCGTCTATCCAGGTATTTCCCTGTCTTATTAGCCTCCTCATGCATCTTGGCGCATTCTACTTCTCCTAGGGCTGCATTCATATGCACGAACTCAAGCCTAGGCAGTGCTGGTGGCCGGATCTGCAACGCCTTGCCTCGAAAAGACCCGGTCCCCGGGACCGCCTCGAAGCGGCTCATGCATCTATTGAATCTTGGCTGCCAGGTGTTCAACACAGGGCCGGGGAAGAGTGCTCTGCTCTGTTACCTCCTAAGCGGAACAGGCATATCTCTTCTACGCGAGGCGGGGGAGATGAGGCCAATGTCGGTTGCTCTACTCGGTAGTCGAAAGAGATCGAGTGCTTTCCAGTCTCGACCTGCCCTCGACTCCTGCTACTCGTGGAGCGCTAGCTAACCACGTTGTAAGACGAGCTCGTGGCTCACTATTTTTCCAGAACTGTCTCGGGAATTTTCGACTTCTGAACAATCTTCTCTTCATTGTGTCTTGCTCATTCCCGTGCACCGCCGCTCTCTTCATTTTCTATACCATTTCAGCCAGGCCAAATTATATTCTCCTTTACAGTTTCCAGCAATCATGAGTGCACCTTCTTCTTCATCAGATGTTGGTGAGAAGACATCTATAAACGAGAAGAATATCAACACGGAAAGCACAGTGGTCGCTCTCAGCAATGAAACCGATCAGCCCAGCGTCGTCGACGGGCAGGATTCAGATGACAGCCGAAGCCCGCAAAACTGGAATCCGTGGAAGAAGCGACTTCTATTTCTCGCTTTGATGTCCAGTTCAATCCTTGCCGACGGGTATGTTTAATGTCCTCCGCCCTTCTGGAAATTGTTGAAGCTGACACTTTTGGAAGAGGCATGACCTGGGGTGCAACTCTGGTAGCTCCTCAGGCCTTCGAATGGCACACCTCCATCACGCACTCGGCCACTTCCCTCAACTACGGTATCCTGCTTCAGGGCTTTGGTGGTATATTTGCTGTGCCCTTTATTGACGCATACGGCCGGTCAGTTGTCTGAAATTCGAGACGTTCGAGCCCCGCAATTGCTAATTTTCATCCCAGCCTCCCAGTTTGGCTCTATCCTCAGATCGTCACCCTCTTTGTCGTGCTAGGCTGTGTTTATGCTCAGTCATGGTCTGTTTTCACGGCTTTACGAGCCCTTCAAGGTCTCTTCGGAACAGTCCCTCAAGTGATTGGCCTGCCGATCATCCACGACATGTACGAACCGCACGAATGGCCACGATATATCAACATTTGGGGAACCACCTTCCTGGTTGGTCCTTTCCTCTTCCCTGCTCTAGCTGGATACATTCTCGAAGGCACCGGTTCCTGGCGTGACTGCTTCAAAGTCCTGACGGGCCTCTACGGATTCTCTACGCTGATGATCCTGGCTTTCGGCTACGAGACATACTATAATAGATCAACGGGCGTCCAGCAATCGAACCGAATCAAGGCTTTTTTGGGCATTGGGAACACCAACCTACCGAAGGCACGGACGCTCTCGGAGTCGACTGTTAACATAATCAAGCTCACCTTCACTCCCCCAATCCTCCTTGTCGGTCTCTCCACCATGATCAACTTCACATGGCCCATCGGAATCACCACAACTATTGACGCCTTTGTGCGAGCGCCGCCTTACCTCTTTGACAATGTTGAGGATGCCTCCATCCGCTTTGCTGGTGTCATCGGCGCCCTTCTGGGCTTCTGCTTTGGATACTTCTTCAATGAATGGATCTACAACGGTTCCGGTGGGAAGCGAAAAGCCCACTGGCGAAGCGAATACAGACTGCATGGCGTGTGGTTCCCCATTGGAAGCATGGTGTGCGGCTTACTGACGTATGGTCTCACGCTCAACTACGGGAAAAGCTGGGTTGGACTTGCGTTTGGGTGGGTCATGGTGAACATCGGTTTGGTGGGCACCATGGTTGCCATCACGGCTTTTGCTCTCGAGAAATATCCCACACACTCTGCAGTTGTGTCTGCAATCATCAACATGTGGCGAACTTGCGGCGGATTTGCCGTCGGCTATTTCCAGCCAAGCTGGATTTCAAAGGATGGTGTAACTGCGGTGTTCGCGACCCAGGCTGCTGTTGTGTTAGTTACCGCCATCCTGCTCATTGGTGCCGCCATTTGGCTCGGAAGGCGCGCTGCAAACAGAAAGAGTGCTGCAGATGTCTCGGGTGAAGCTTGAGCACCACTTGGATAATTTGGCTTTCGTGATTGATTCAGAACACACTGGAAAATAGTTAGATTGGCGGAGTTTCTACTTAATTCATATACAGACAGCGCGATTCCAATACCATAGAAGATTTGAACACTAGAGAGACTTAAGCATAATCAAGCAATACATGCTCCGTGGGTGTACCCGTGGGTGTGATCCTCTTGTGGCAGATAAAGGCACTTGCCGATACTCCGTACTATGACATCCATATACCCAGGCAGTTTTAGACACCTCGCAGGAGGTCCTGGCACTCAATAATGATTCATTTTTCGCTATAGATACGGTCGTTCGCTGTGACCCTCAAAGTACTCGAATCGGTCGGTCAGGTGAGATATCGCAACACCACTCATTGTTTTTCCCTAGCACAGGCACTTAGTCTTGAGAGCGCGAAGCTCAGATGTGCACGACTATGTACGGGCAGAAGCGTCATATTCAGGTCTCTGAAAGGGTCGAAGCTGGATGGGACACTAGTACAAGACAAATGCATTTTACTGTCGGAGGTTGAAAGGCATTCCCCTGAGGAAGATATTGAAATGACACAAATGACATGCCTGACGTAGAGCCTTTTGAAATGCGCCAGGCTCCAAGCATTTCGGAGCCGGGAGCGAGCTAGCAAATAAAAACTAGTTCCGAAGTGGAGCCCCTTCTGCCTTGTCGGAATGGTTCCTATTCGATGTATTTTCTCCGTGACAGGTTCGACCGCGTTCCTTGCGGGGCAAAACAATAAGCTTTGTTGAACTTGCATGTCTCGTCCAGATTCTCCTTCCCCAGCTTTCTCTGTTCTCGGGCCCGCCGGGGAAAACCCTGCCACGTTGCACCGTGTGCGGGTGTATCTTGGGCGCTGGGGAGTATCAAGGCGGCTATTGAGCATCGATGTCGGCTTCAAACAGGCCGGAGCAGAATAAGTTCCGATGTATATTTCAAACTTCAACCTCAGTGTTCGAGATCCAAGGGCCTCATATTAACACGGCGGAAGGAATACTGACCCTTCAAATCTTGACTTTTTACATTCCGCTTTAGTTCGTCATAGCATCCCTCACCGAGTACTCATCACTCTTCGTTAAACCCATGGCTACGACCATTGCGATCCTCGGCGCGACAGGGAAGACAGGACGCGAAGTGCTGCAGCGGCTTCTTCCACGTCAGGATGTGAATATACGAATTTACGTGCGGTCGACGTCGAAGCTTGTTGACCTTTTCCCGTTGCTGCCTTCGCATCCTCGCGTTTCAATCTTTCAGGGACCGCTCGGCGACGTCGAAAATATGTGCAAGTGTCTGAATGGTGCCGAGCGGATTGTCTTCACCCTCGGCGAAAACGATAATCGTCCGGGGGTGAGCGTGATCGAGGATGGGGCGAGGACGGTCATCGCCGCCCTGGAGGCGTTACGGCAGGGCAAACAAGACTGGCAGCGACCGCGGGTTCTGCTTCTGTCGTCCGCGACGTGGAATCCCACCTTGGCCGCTGTGCGGCCGGCCGTGATCCACTGGGCAATCAAAACCGCCTTTGTCCATCCTTACGCGGATCTACGACGAGGCCAGGAGGTCTTCCTAGCCGCCTCGCCCCTGGTCAGTGTCATGCTCGTGCAGCCCAACGGCCTTATCGAGGACGAACCCAGCGGGCACGAGATCAACGTCGACCGAGCCACCCTTACAGTGACTTACGGGGACCTAGGCGCTGCGTTTGTCGACATGGCTTGCGACAGAGAATTTGACGCCCTGCCCGCAGTCGGCGTGTCGAGCAAGAGCGGCGACAACGGCCTGAAGTACGGCCCCATTCTCGGATACAGAATCATTAGAGGCCTATGCGCCACGTACATCCCGGGGTTCTGGCACATGCACAAGTTCGTCGTCTCGACGGTTGCGACGTTGACGTTTAAAGGGAAAGTCGCGTCATAGGACTTGGCATTTTCTCCTCTTCCGCATTCTTACCGGGTGTCTTTCTTGCGGCAGTGGCTATTTTCGTTTCACGTTCTCAGCAGACGGCCGAATACTAAGATGAAATTGTGCATAAGCTTCCTCGCGTGGGATTGCTCAGATGAGATCGGACTAAATCTATACTGCCGCGACTACCGCGGGTCCTTATTCTAATTCATATTTTCCCCCGTCATAAATTGAACTCTGAGGTTGGTTTGCAAGAAGCAAGGATGGATTCATCTGTGTTCCGGAACCCTTCAACGGTGACTTCGTGCAACTATATATAGCCTGCCTTGGAGTAATACCCCCTTGCACTCTCGTGGAGCGGAATCGGAGGGCGTGCTATCTTTTTCGGTTCCAGAGGATAACTCAACGGGCTCTTCTCGGGGGGAAGATGCTTGTATTGTCCCTCGATCATGTGCCTCGTCTCCACAAGGCACCAGGCAAGAAGATACGCCACATCTTTCGGCATGTCGTCTCTAACCAAGATGACGAAGTCGGAGAAATCCAACGCCGGGATATCCTGGGTCAAGTTCTTCCAAAAGCCGGAGGGGAGAGAGTTCGCTCCTAGCCCAAGAGATTGTTGCAGCACCTCCAATGCGCCTGGTTCAGCTGGTAGCGGTATCAGTCTATTGTTCTCGATCAGTCCGCTCCACCATGGTGTCATGATGGCTTCTTGAAGAAGAGCGTCCGCTTTCCCTTCCTCGACTAGCGCCACACACTGCTCTGGCCTTTGAGCTGTCAGGAAGACCCCTCCCCATGCCTCCACAGTGGCTTTTGAAATCTGGTGGGCATTCAAGAACTCGTTGGCGACGTATCCGATAAAGTTGGTCCCGTCGTCGACCGAGGTGGCGATCCGCAGGGCTGGTTTTTGTTCCCGGAGCTCTCCGTACGTTTTGATGCCGTAATTCGGGTCGACAGCGAGTACCATCCGGTCGTTCTGGGGGAGCACGCCCAAGGCACGCAAGTGCGGCATCGCTGTCGTAAAAGGGCTGTCACCTGTAAGGGCTCGTCGCATCAGCGCGGCTGGTGTAGCAATGGCCAGGTCGACGGCTCCTTCATTGAGCTGCTTCAACCCGTCTAGGCCTCCGTCTCGTAGGCTCCAGATCGCCGACCGGCTTCCGGGACCGGTTCGATCACAGAACTCCTGCGTGAGCCACGAGCAGATCCGGTGAAAGTTGGCTCCGCCCCAGTCGCCGACCAGTCTGAGCGTGTAGGACCGGAGTAACCTGGGCTCTCCTTTTTCGTCGATCTTGAGACCCTCCATGTCTGGGACGGGGGCAGCTGACATGCTGTTTTCTCTCGAAGCACGAGCTGAGAACATCAAAAAAAAAAGGGGGGGATGGAAGGGAAGATTGAAGAGCGGTTCAGACTCATGGGGAAGGGAAACCGGGATAGACGCCCGATAGATATATAACGCCCTGTTCCGATTCCGGCGAGTCCACGGCAAGTGGGCAACCGAAGTAAACGTATAGGATGATTCGGTTTCTATGGAGTTAGGATCCGGCTTGGTACTACGCAAACGGTCCTCGCTTACTATTGAGAAAGCAATTAAACTTCTTCAGAACACACCACAATACAGAATTTCTCACCTGTTCTATCACCCAAAGCTTGAATTTGATGTGTGAGGTTTGGCAGTACTATCCAAAAGTTCCAATTTCTATGCTTACAGCTTCAGCCTCCGAATCTTCGGGGCATTTGCCAACTCAGCAGCACCACCAGTAGCGAGACCTTAAACAACTTTGCGACAATTGTGTCACAGGCAGCATATCCTTCATTACCAGTACCCATAGTAATGGAGTCTCGCTGTAGCAGTGAGTTTGCTTGGACCATCTGACATGAAGCAGGATCCTGGGTGCGTACAGATATCTCTCTTTCCGACCTCCAACCCAGCCTGATGTCTTCATCATGCCGCATAATATGGCCCCTGCCAATTTCTCTTCTCCTCAAAGAGATCTAGTGGCTTACCATGTGTCTGACGCTTCTGCTGTCGAAGCCAATGCCCCGCCGGGTTACATTGAACGATACCTCCACAGTGAGATTATAAAAGATGTATCCGGCTGTCAACAGCACCATCCACAGTCATTCCAGTGCTGTCATTCCGTATAGAATCTCTGGTATGGCTTTCAATTTTCTTTTCTATGCCCCCTTCTGCTTGATTAGCGTTTTGGTCTCCGCAGGTGTTCCGCCGAGACCTTGTCTGCATATGGCGGGATTCCTAGGTATGATAGGCCAGACTTGGCAGCCAACCCATGCGCAACAAGCCTTACAAAATCCATCCAGTTTCTGGACTGTCCTGATTTGTGCTTGATCGCTCTTGAATCTTTCTCTAAGAGATATCCTGGTTCGACAGGGCTAGACTATGCCATAGTCTTTATGCGCGGCTATGGTTACAGAGCAGTAACATGCAGCATCGAAGACTGCCTCTTCCGCGCAATCTAAACCAAAGTGAATGCTGTCATTCAGACAACGAGTCTTGGGCGGAGGAACGCATATCGAAACTTTGATGAAGCATCCCCAAATTCAGAATCTGCCTGACGACGAGATTGAAGGGACTAAGATTATGGGAGAAGCCACTTGTCACCAGCCATTGGGGGCTTTGGCTTCGAGGGGTGGAAGATGCAAAACTGTGCGCCAAGGAATAGAAGTCTGCTCAAGCATGGTTCTCTACTGGCCCCACAACCTGCTCAGATCCTAGTAATACGCAGCTCCTTTGGTTGCTTGCGAATAGAAGGAGGTGGGTGCACTACAACCCGCAAACGTCCCACAGAAACTCGTTCAGTTCAGTCGGTTCTAAAATTTCCCGTTCTCCGGTTGTGTTTCTGCTCTTGTGGTGCTTCGCCAGTGAGATACACGCGCCGAAATAGTGTATTTTGTCCAGTCGGAGAAACGTCCGATTGTCCCACCTTTAAATGGAAATCACCGCATTCCGACCCCACAGATTGAGCTGTCCCTAGAAGTATGGAGTAGTTCAGCGAGCCCGTGGGGAGCGAATTTCCTACCGAATTTGGCGGTCTGTTGTCGCTGCTTTTAAAAGATCACTTAAGGCGCTTTTGGATCCTTTCCACATCAGCATCCCGCCCTCCTCGGCCGTTTCAAAGGTTGAGTTGGGCCTGGTGACTAGGCTCATGGCTGTCTCGCCATTTCCCAAGGCTACGTTTGGCGAACAGATGGGTGTACTTTTAACTGTCAACGGATTCGATATTAGGTGTCGTAGTTTCCACATAGAGATGGAAAATTATGTACAGCAGCATGAGAAAACCCCTTCATCTCGAGGTACTGTCATGTTGCCATTGTTTGCGGTGCAATATGAGGGTCACGACGGGGTCTGGAGTCATCTGGAGATGTCCAAGACGGTTGAGAGCTCTGCCCGGGAATGTGGCCGCGTGTTGGACAAAAGTCCTGAATATCTTTGCTTGACTACGAGGTAAAGAGAAAGGGGAAATCTATGTACCCAGTGCCAAGCAGTGGGAAGGACTGTGCACGGAAAATTGCACATTAGTAGTTCTGCGATCGGGTAACCTACCCTTCAGGGTTGGGGCTAGTCCAAAACAGCAATGCCGAACGAAATAGGCATAGCGCAAACATGGACAGCTATTTCGGCCTGCAATGTGAGTTTGATCTGTCCGGCCCAGCTCCGTTTGCTCTCTTGCTCTCTTTCACTTTAACCGTCTCGTGTTTGGGGCTCTTGCATGATCTGTATCGCTGCGCAGAAGCAAAAATCTCACTGACGACTTATGGACAATGATACCGGCGCCCCGAGTTCGGCTCAATCTTGTCCAGATGCCGGGGAAGACCCGGCGATCCGTGGCATGCAATCATTGTAGGGCGAAGAAGATCCGGTGTATGCCCACAATCTCTAACTGCCGAAGACCTATGTTGCTCATCGTTCGATAGGTAATGGGAACACTCCATGCGACAATTGCCTCGATCGAGCCGAAGAATGTGTACTCACGCGCAGACGCCGTCCACGCGTCCAAGAGAGCCAGAATCCTGATGGACGTATACTCCCGCGCGACAACAACGGTATGTCGGAACATACATTCTGTCTCTAGCTGTACCTCAGACTTGCGTAAAATAATAACTAAAAACGCAATCTAGGTGCATCCTCTAAGACAAATGTAGGTTTGAGCACACTCACGTACAGAGGCAGTTCCGTGGCACTTTCGTCCAGCAACCATCACTGCCGTCGTATTGTACTGTCAAGCACATCTCAAGATTTAGGCTAATGTACCTCAGGATCATATGTTAGAGGCTCCTCCGGAGCGAGCACACCCCGGCATCTTTCAATCACAACCACTCATCTCAATTCCTCAACAATATGAATGCCCGCCACAAGAGGAGTGTGAAACATCAATTGATGTCTTTGACAATCGCGAAGTTGGGCAGGAAGATAACAGTCTATATGCCACGGATACGGTAGGCTCTTTACCGTAGGCCATCTGTCACAATGCTGATTATTCGTCTAGCTCAATTTTGAGTACTATGGTTCGTCAAGTTGGGTCGGTGCAGAATGTGGCATTGACACATGACAGGCCCGCGCAGTATGATGTCTTTCTACTCCCAACCTGCAGAGGACTGGGTTATTTCCAAAGTGAAATCGCCAGATTACTCCAGCACTGTGAAGCGCCTCGTTCGAGAATCGGCTCGAATGCTCAAAATGAGCCGTGGCACATTGTCGACTTGCCGAGAACCAGAGCCGCCTCCAGAAGTTGCGTGGCAATACGCGAATGGTATTCTCAGCTCCTAGCCCCGCGTAGGCCTTCTTAAGCTGATATGCGAAATTTTGGTGTAGCTTACTTCGAGGAGGGACTGGACCGCGCCTTTGGCGTGGTCGAACGTACCTTATTCGAGTCCCGGCTCCGCGCACATTTCAGCGGCACGTACAACCCTGTCACAGATGATAAGGCTTGGTACGCACTACGCAATGTCGTCTGGGCGCACGGGTGTCGGATTCTAGGTTCTAAGACGAGAAACTTCCACCAGACCCTACAAGCCTCATGGGCCTTCTTTCAAAACGCACTCTCTGTGCATACTGAGACCGTCTTCCTACATACTTCCTTGATGGGTGTACAAGCCCTTATATCAATGGTAAATGCCTTGGCGGCTACTCGAGCAATGGAGACTAACGTTCTTTAATAGGCGTACTTTAGTGAGGGTATAGGTGAAGTATCATTACAATATACATTATGCACGGACGCTTTGCGACTTGCGTGCTCGAAAGGACTGCACAGACAGCCTTCTAACTCCTGGAAAATCCCGCCACATGAGGTTAGGCATAGGAACTGGATATTCTGGTCCATTTATTGTCTGGAGAAACAAATTTGCTCCCGTTCGGGACGCCCATCGGTATGTCTCCTGTGATAATATGTCTCGTTATAGGTATCTAAACTTTATTAGATAATGGATGACGACGAGATAAGTTGCCAAGTACCTCTAAGCTCGCTTAGCGGACGACCGAGCGATACTTTATATTGTCACACGCTTATCAAAATGATGCAACTCGCTTCTGCAGCTAAGAAGCGGCTTTCAAGTGTGCGCGCTCTCAAGCAACCAACCGAACAGCTGCTTAAAACAATTCGCAGCTTAAAAAAGGATCTCGCAGAATTAAGGTGCTCAGTGCAACAGAAAATCTGTCTTGACGACCCGATCGACGTTTCTCGATTACCAGGGGGCCTTACCTTACGCCAGGCCCAATCACTTCAATCTCACTATTTCTGTCTGGTGCTGGACATTAACACTCCATTGACCTATCCTTGGCTAGGGGTCTCCGCTTATGTAGCGGATAATATGGCAGCTGCCGCCCAGGTCGAGGCTTCGTTTAACGAGGTGGCGCAGGTATCACGTTCTGGTATTCTGGCAAGTAGACAAATAAATATCGACGGTGGCTGCTCTGCCTTGTAAGGTTCCTTTTTTGCCATTAGGCTTCTCGGGCGGATACAGGTACTTTGTCCAACGAATGCTGACTCCTATTCAGAATTGCACGATACGCACCATTGTACAGTTTCATCAATCTCTTCATTCACATTCTACGAGACACTACTCAGTCCACCGTTCAGTCAGATCTAGTGCTTTTAGGTATGTATCCAGATTCAATTTTGTACAAGGTACGGTCCAATACTGGCTCGGCCTGGCGAATGCATATCCTCACCTACAAGTGACTGACAAAGGTTACATTCAGATATTGCGTTAGGATACTTCTCTAACCTTGAATTTGTTACCGGTCTCCAATTGCCACGCCTTTTCGTGAGAGAGTTGTGCCACTTCGCCCGCCTTGCTGTAGAGCATAAGGAGGAAACCCAGGAGAACAGTGTCGAGCAAATAAACAACGGAGAAATTCGGGGCCATGGGAGTTCTCGAACTGCAAACTTAACTGATGCTGTGGCCCTCGACGACACAAGCACTCTTCCTTTATTCGTAAGACTTACTACTGACTATTATCTTCTTGCTCCGGTACCACTTCTCCAACTGTGCACGATGCTGATACAATATTTTCAGGAAAACGACTTCTTTGGATTCCTTCCAGCCGAGGACCTTGAAACGTGGAGCACTCTTATTCCGTTCGAGGAAGATGGTGGCCTGATGATCTAAAGGCCCAACTATGACAGTCCCGAAGGGAAAAGGCCGTGCTGGTTAAGAGAAAAGCTTACTCGCAATGTTCACTTATCTTCCTATAATGCTTCACCCATGTTAAAAAGGTGCCTCTTCTAACTGTGCGTATAAGAATGATGCTGCTCAGCGGGAGAGGCCAGACAGATTGGCGACAGATTACTGGGTATCTGGTGTTGGTTCAAGTCCTTTGACCTCGGAGTTGTCTGTTGGGGAAAGAAGCAACTCCCCGCACATCCAGTTGGGGATTTTGGAGTACTAAGATGTCCCCCAGACCTTGGAGTAATGCGGCAGATTAATTTTACCTCAAGCATCCATGAGACAACTTCGCCTTGATCCCTGGCAAGAGGCTTGATCAAGCTGCAACACGTAAAGATGGCCACCAACGGCGATTCGAAGCACCCAGCCAGCCTTACTCGTCTGGCAGCAAGACGTATTCGTCAAATTGCGACTGAAGAGCTGTCTCAGCAACTGTATGACAAGGCGACCTTCTGCATTATCGATTGGCTTGGTGCAGTGCATACTGGCCTTTTGCTACCATGGAAGGACGCGCTGGTGAAGTATGCGAAATTGAATCGTGGGATTGCAGAGGCATATGCATGGGGTATCGACGGAGATGTCTCTACTGAGACGGCCGCCTTTGTAAATGCAACTTTAGCACATAGGTGAGTCTGTTGAATGCGATTTTACGCCTGACTTTGGCCTATTGAGCGACCGTTGGCTTGAGCTAATTCCTTACCGGCTAAAGTGCTATCCGGGATGACATGCACCTCGAGGCATGTTCCCATATTGGTTCGATTGTAATTTCAGCTGCTCTTGCCCTCGCCCAGCGCGAGAGATGGTCTGGAGAGAAGCTGTTGCGGGCGATCATTGCTGGCTACGAAATGGCCGCGCTTCTTGGATCAGCGATCCGTCACCGTGGGAATTTCAATGCGCACTTCCGTCCTAGTGGCCTCATTGGCGCCTTTGGAGTCACAGCGGCAGCAATCGCGGCAGAAGGAGTGGAGGAATCAGTCGCTGTAAACGCGCTCGGCTTTGCCGTCAGTATGGCTGCTGGTACCAACGAATGGGCCTGGAGTGGAGGCACCGAGATCTTCGTTGAAATGGGTGTGGCAAGCCGCTCTGGTATTGCGAGCTTCGATCTGGCAAATGCTGGCTTCGAAAGCAGCGACACAGCCCTCGAAGGCAAGGATGGCTTCTTCAATGCGCTCGGAGTTGGACCTGCTGGAGCGGAGGATTTCAAAGATTGGATTGAGAAATCTCCTATCGGCAAAGGCGTCCTGGACGTGCGTTTTAAGCCAGTCGCTGGATGCAACTACGCCCAAACGACTTCTGCAGTTGCTGTTCGGATTTACCACAAGCATAAGCTAGGCGAAATCGACCGCATAAAGATCACCGCTACCACGCAAGCAGTAAAGTACCCAGGATGTGACAATGCTGGTCCTTTGAACACCATTCAAAACACAAAGATGAGCATTCAGTTTGGAGTATGCGCTGCCCTAAGTTTTGGCAAATTGGATGAGGACATTTTCAAGTGCTGTGATGACAAGCAAGTCAACGAACTCATCTCAAAATGTGAGCTGAACGCAAGCTCCGAGTATGACAAGATGTATGTGCGGGGACTTCAGCCGGCAATGGTGGAGGTCACGCTGGCAGATGGTACAGTGCTTCGAGAAAGTGCTGAGGATGTGCCATGGTTGACCGAAAGTGATGTTGAAGCTCGCTCCATTTCGGAGCAAGCACGAGATATTTCGAAAGATGCAGCAGTGAAGGTTGTCGAGGCGTGCAAGGGATTAAGAGATCTTGCGCAGGGGGATGAGCTTCTCGTACACCTCAGGTCAAGGCGGTGATTGAGGGCTCTGCACAACTCTAACTGAGCGAGTCGTCATCAGTCTCTCCATGCACCTGACGTTTGCGATACTCAAGCTTGATTGTTCAAATGGCCATTGGCCCGCTCTGCTCCTGGTATTTTAACCCTTAAAAGATTCTCCGCGTTTTTAAACGCAATGAGCTCGAGCTGTTCCTCATTCACGAGGCCACTCTTCTCCAGCTCTTCGAAGAATTTGAGGCCATGTTCATTGGTCGTGAATGGGTAATCGACGCTGTACATGATCCTTTCAGTCTTGGTGTTGGCGAGGATGCAGCGCATGGGATCGACACTGTACGCAGCTGATGTTGTGATCCAGATATTCTCATTCCACACCTGTTCAAAGGGGCGATTTCGTTTACCCATGACAGACTCTTGGTCTATAATTCTCTGCAACATGAATGGTATCATCTCTCCAAAGTGGCCGAGAATGATCTTTAGCTTCGGGAACTTGTCGAACACTCCTGCAGCATGCAATCGAAGCACATGGAGGCCGACTTCGCTGTGCCAGCCCCACATAGCACCTCCTATCACAGTTTCAGAGCGAGGTGGATAGTTCCCAGTGTAGGATCTTTGGAAGAATTCTAGCGTTGGCCATGCTGGGTGGAGGTAGATGGGGACGTCCAAGTCTTGCAGCTTCTGCCAGAGAATGTCGTACTCATCTCCGTCGCAGAATTTGTCGCCAGCCTTGTGATCGACCAGCGCGCCCACAAAGCCAAGCTCTTTGACCGCCCGCTCCAGCTCGCTCGCTGCAGCCCCAGGATGGGCCATGGGCAAGACGGCAAACCCAGCAAAGCGCTTTCTGGTCTCTTCTGTCTTGCGCATCTCGTTTGCCAGTTGATCGTTGCCCGCTCGGCAGACCCCAAGCGATGGATTGTTGGCAGCGCAGTGGGAAATAACCTGGAGGGACACGTTGCCGTGGTCCATCTCTTTGAGACGGAGGTCGCCGGCATCGAATAGTCTCTCGAGTGCTCCTGGCCATTTGGTGATTCCTTCTTTCAAGGAGTTGTCGTATGAGTCGAACACCGCCCGCGAGTACCAGTGCTCTTCGAGCGTGATAAATGGCGGAGTCATATTGAATGGGGTCTGATAGTTTCAATGGCCTACCCAGAAGGCGGCGGAACTACGGACAGCAAACACAGAGAAACCAGGTACGGAGCATAAGCTTCGAGCTGAGAAGTTGAGGACGACGCACTCAGCGAGATCTCGCTGGTCTTAATGCCTCAGCCCCCATTTGTGCAAACTATTCTCAGTCTGTATGCTAGTTAGTCCGCCGCAGAGTTTTTCACAACCATCGCTCGGGGTCATCTTGTCGAACATTCCGAGACCACAGCCGGTGCGAGAGTTGTTCGTATCAGGAGACTCGATGGAGACACCGCTTCCGTTCGGCATTTCCCAATATGTTCGGCACCACCAAAAATGCAATCTTTGTTCTGGCTAGCGATTCGACAATTTTGCAAATTCATCACGAGTGAATGTGCCCGAATTTCTTAGACGCCAAAAGGCGTTTCTAAGCGAAAATTCGGGTCCGGGATCCAAGTTGAATGGAAAACCCAAGTTGAACCTCCTCGTCGCTGAGCACGGTCTATATTTTCCGGTTGAGACCAACTTGCGGATGACATTGGATCGCGAAAGCAAATTGCCTGCTTGAAACTCTAGTTGAATTCAATTCTGCTATGTTCCCTCCCACAGCAATCGTCACCGGTGGTTCGTCTGGCATAGGGTATGCACTAGTACGCCACCTCGTCTCCATGAAATGGAGGGTCGTTATTGCCGACATCAATCCTCCAAGAGAGGCCATCCCCGACGCATTATTCATTCGGACCGATATTGCCTCCTGGCAGGACCAAGCGGATATGTTTAAGCAAGCCTACGCGTGGAGTAGACGTCTGGACTTTGTTGCGCTCAATGCGGGTGTTGACGACAGAGATAATATATTCGGCACGCTCACTCACGATGTAAATGAGCCACCACGGCGGCCCGACACTAAGCCCTTTGACGTGAACATCACTGGGACGTAAGTCCTTTAATGATATTGTTTCTATTAGAGCGCTGACCCTTTATACTGATAGATACTATGGCATCAAACTCTCTGCTCACTATATGACCGTTCCGAGCACAGAAGCAGGCAAACGTAACGCTGGTGGTAAGATAGTCATTACGGCGTCCGGAGGAGGTATATATCCTATTCCAATCCTCCCTCAATATGTAGCTAGCAAGCACGCTCTTGTTGGGCTTGTTCGGGCCCTGGGGAGAAACGAGGCCACTTCCAAGGCCAACGTTCGCATCAATGCCGTCTGTCCTGCCATCGTCGACACTCCAGCCCTGCCTCGAGGCCTAGTGAGCAAGCTTCCTCCCGACCAGATCACACCGATGAGCACCGTCATCCGCTGTTTCGATGCTTTGGCGGATCTTGCCCACGTCGGGGACGAGGCCTGGGTCCTGCAAGGAAGGACAGGCGAGACACTGGAAGGTAATGGGGATGAATTGATATGGCACCACCCGCCTGAGCGGCGCGGCGGAAAGTTTGTGAGGGAAACTGGCATGTTGGCCGTGGCACAAGCGTACAAGGAGAAAGCCGAAAGGGCTGCGGTATAGGTCGAGGAGTACGTGTGCTGAGGAACAGAATTGGATTTGCTTTAATCAGATGGAAACCACCTTGGTTCGCGATATTAATGGCAGAGCAATGATATTAACTGAATAATTGGTATTCAGTGCTGACAGAGCCTCTGACGAGAGTACCCAGACCCAGCCTTGCCATTTGAATTGCCTTACTCTTCGTATTTGCACGGCGGAGCATACAGCAGTGAGCGGGTCTTTATTCTGGCGCATCATACCCTGGTATCGCGTACTTTCGGGCTTCCATGTTCCAGCAGCCTCGACACCCGAAGTGCCCGCTAGAGGTACAAAGTAATGGCAATGCTTCCTATATCACTTGAGATGCAGGTAGACGTGGAGGAGTTATGGTGATTCCATTTATTGTTATGAAAGACGGGGTCGTTCAACCCTCTCTTGCACAATGCATCACGAGCACATGCATCGAGGATTGCTACCATTGCTGCATTTTCTTATGCTTTTCCCTTGGCGTGTTTGGCATGTATGCTGTGGGATCTAGTCCCGCCGCTAGAACGTCGGCACCTCGGCTTGACTGGACCCGCCAAGGCCACCCACCCCAAGGGCTCATGGGCTCTGGGGCTCCTCGTTGGTTTTTCGTCCTTAGTAACACATACAGTCTCATCAGCCAGGTACAAACAGCGTTCTCAAATTGACAATATTCGGTTTTTTAAATGTCATGATTATCGCACATGTCACCCTGATCTCTTCTTCAAGTGCCCAATCACGTTTACTTTCATGATCTCACTGGCCTAAGCACAATTTTGACTGTTTCGTCAAGGTCACCGTGCGGCACTCCGAGGATTGAATTGGCCAACTTCTCAGCCACAGCGTAGTTCGACCTGATTCCTGGAACGTCGCCCCATGCCGACGCCCGTACAAGCTTAAATATGCCTGTAAAGTCTCCCTCCGACACCATCTTCTTCCCTTTTGCGATCTCTTCTTCTGTCTCAACATCTTCCACCGCCCACTTCTTGCCGGTTTGGGCTTCGAGTGCAGCCAAAATGGCTTTGTGAGTGGTTGTCACAGTTGCGAAATAGAGAAATTGGTTGGTGGTCTCAGCAGGGTGTGTCAAAACCGAGACAATCGCTTGCCCAAGATCGGTCTGGCTAGTGGCCGAGAAAGCCGCGTTGCCGCCATCCCATAGGACAGCCTTCTTGTTAGTAAGATCAAATCCCAGGAAGCCACTGGCAAGCCCCTGCTCCGGGTCAGCAAGAGGATATACGAAAGTTTATACCGCGTGCGTACCCAGTCAAGGAGTGGTCCGGTGGACAGCCCCGTCCAGGTCAGTCCCGTGTTCTCCTTCTCCCTGGGATAATCAATTATATCTTTTTTCGCCTCAAATACCGGTACTAATTCACGAACAGTAGGGCTCATTGTATTGGCCGAAAACTCCGAAGGAATGAACCTTTTGACACCAGCCGTGATCGCTGCATCAATGAAGACTTTCTGATCCTGGAAACCTGTTGGTCCAACGGACGACACGACTGCATCCTGTCCCCCGAAAGCTTTCACAAGCTCGCTCTCGGAATATGATGTCTTGATAACCGAGACATCCACTGGGAATGTAGCGTTGCTAGACAGTCTCGTGAGAATGGTGACTTCGTGGGCCTTCGATTTCAGCAACTCATGTAGGATGATGGAGCCCAGATTGCCGCTGGCCTATCCACTGTGTGAGTGAGAGCACACAGGTATTTCACTGATTCCTACCCCAATCAGGACCACCTTCTTGATTTGCGAATTCGCTGACATTGCACTCTATTGAATTGTGATTTCCTTGATTATGTGTCGGGCACTCCTAAATGGGCCTCAATATATTCTCGAATTTTTAGCAGGGGTCGAGCTGCTGCTGACAAAACATATGACTGCTCTCAGACACTGACCGTCTGCCTGACGAAGAATCCTCGCAGATGATCCGTATTGCAATGGCAGCTTCGGTCCTTTCGGAATAAGTCCGAGTCCAAATAATGGGAGAAATCCAGTGAACAAGGTAAGGCCGGTTCACTCCGACTCGAAGTCGACCTGAAGTTGTCGGCGTTAGGTTTCGTTCCTTTCTGATGAGAGACTTGATAGAAGGTCAACTTGAGTTCCTAAATCCCTGCCTCAGTTTCAGTTGCATCGGCAGCTGTTACAGAGAGGTTGAGTTGTGGACCTATCTGGTTGATTGTGTCCTGTCCCCCTGGCTACTCAGAGAGACTCTGCCTGTTTATATATACATTGGCCTGTAACCATAAGAGCATTCCTTAAACCTCCTACTCCGTCGCCATCCTGCCACAGAACTGCAGGAACAGCGAGGTTGAGGCAGTTTGCGCAGTTGTTGAAGCGTCTAGCATCTCAGGTGGTTTACCGCAGTAACTATCTTGCAACCCTGTCAACAGCAGCACAGTCTGTGAGGAAAGCCATTCTCGTGACACATCTTGCATGAGTATTGGTCAGTCGAGATTTACCAACGGCAATATACCAGTTAAGAGAGAAGCACTGGATCAAGAAAGCCAACTCGACTACCAAATCAATCACCCAGCCCGGACCTTAAAAAACACGCTTTCTGTTTTCCGACCCAGCCTCAACACTTATAGTACCACTCGACTTCGTGCTAAGATCATTAAATTGAAATGCTGTCGTTCCTTGCCCTTGGAGCTATCGCCCTTGTTCGCTTTGGAATTTTGTTTCACAGACTTGATCAGAGAAGCGAAGTTCCAGATGGAGCGAGATTGCCACCTGGTGCTAAAGGTAAGCCACAAGTCCAGGGGATGGAAGCGACTAACAAGGAACAGGCAAACCTCTCGTCGGCAACTTGCTAGACATACCGCGTCAACACTCTCGGATCAAGTTCAAAAGCTTGGCGGAGCAGCACGGGCCTATATTTCGCCTCAACATTTTTGGGCGGAACCATGTTGTCGTCTCAACTGAAAAGATAGCTAATGACCTCCTTCGCGAACGTGGAAATCTTTATTCCTCACGAGAACAGCTACAAATGGCGGCTCAGCTAATTTCGTGTAATCTAAGGCCTTTACTACTCCTTATGGAGGTGAGATTTGACGTCCTTAGTCAAAGACCGAGACTGATGAGTCCTAGAACTGTGGCGCCGAGGAAGAAAAGTGATGCACACCATGACAATGCATGCAGCTGCTACCTCATATCAACCAACACAAGTATGGGAGTCCGAACGGATGTTGTACGACTTACTCAGGGCGCCTGAGAAATATGAGCTATTCTTCGAACGATATGCAGGCGCTCTCATTATGCGTTTGGGTTATGGTAAAGAGATTGAGTTAGGTGAAGACCCTTATGCACGAGATATTCTAAAGGTTGTTCATACGGTTGAACGTGTTGCTTCACCTGGAGCTTACCTTGTCGATGCTTTCCCTGTGTTGATGCATCTACCAGCTTGGCTATCAGGGACCTACGCAACGCAGTAGGTACAAAGAAATTGGAGTAGCTGAATGCCTTGTTCTATTCACGTAGTCCTATTGACAACGACTCAACGCTTGAGAAAAAGGAAGAGTTCTCTCTCAGCCGATTCGGGTGAGAGGAAACTCTTATAGCTTCCCCTCTTTCTGTCACGTGAAAAGGGTAAGGCAGCGTTAACCAGTAGCCTTGTGCTTCAATCATCCTTTGCCTTATCCTTTTCTTTCTATACCGTCCACCCGATTCGGGTGGAGGGCGTAGAGTACTTGGGGACAACGGTGGGCTCGTGACATTGGCTTGCGCCTTCCAGGCAAGAAGCAGCACGACTACACAACTTCGAGATCAAGCTATTTAGGGAATTGCTTTTGGAAGTGCGAGAGAAGATGAAAACTGGAAAAGCGCCTAAATGTTTCTCTAGAACCTTCTTGGAGAGACAGTCAGAGTTTGGTCTATCAGACGATGAAGGCGCCTACGTCATTGGTACTCTTTTCGAGGCTGGAGCTGGAACGACTGCCGCTGCAATGATGTCTTTCGTCTTGTCCATGTGTCACTACCCAGAATGGCAGAAGAAGGTGCAAAAGGAGGTCGATCGAGTTGTGGGGGACGAACGCTTGCCTGATTTTAGCGATATTCCTCAACTACCCACTGTTCGAGCTATCGCGAAAGAAACTCTGAGGTGGCGTCCAGTAACTGCTGGTGGAGTACCCCATGAATTGATAAAGGACGACGTGTATGAGGGTTTCTTCTTTCCTGCCGGCACCAATATTCATGCTAATCAGTGGTACAAATCCTCCTTCCAGTGAGAAATTTAACACCTAATGACGTGTTCTCAGGGCTATTCATCGCGATCCTGAGCTGCACCCGGATCCAGAGACATTCAATCCAGATCGGTGGCTCCTCCCCGGATATGCCACCTACCGCGAGACACTTGATAGGTTCCCAAATCTTCAAAACTTCTCCGCATTTGGCTTCGGTCGACGAATCTGTCCTGGCATGAACATTGCGGAGAATTCTCTCCATTTGCTTATTGCACGAATTGCTTGGGCTACTGAGATCTCGAAGAAACCTGGGGTTGAAGTCCCCCTGTACGATTACGCAGCCGGCTTCAACGTGCAACCAAAACCATTTGTCTTCGACTTGAAAGCGAGAAGTGCGGCTAGAAAGAAGATTGTCGATATGGCTTGGCAGTAAAACAAGGACACCGATCCTCTAGGCCTAGCCCTGGGCTAAGTTCCATGACTTGTGTCATTTCATCCCGAAAGAGCTCGTTTCCAAGGTATCGGTTCTGCCAACAGCGGCCGTCGACCGGGGTGTAGGTATGTCCACGAAGGTCCTGGTCGGGATGGTGACAGATGTCTGGCGAGCTACCTGGTTAGCTTTGTTAATGAAGTCATCTCGGTCCACCTTTGCCAGTTCCTGGGTGCACTGATGGGGTGCAACTCTTTGCAGATACAACCCTACCAATTTATACTCCATTCAATCTACAATATTTATACTGCTTAACTAAGACTGACTATGGAAGCCTTCGGTGATGGAGACGAGAGTGATGACTAACACTTTGTATTAGTAACTGAAGACCCCTGCTGATCCATTGCCGCCAGTCTGTATTACCGAAAAGCAGAGAGTATAACTTAGGAAATCGAGCGCTAGTGTTATAGCATAATATAGGGTAAGTGTGGAAGAAGATGAAGTTTGATGTAGTAAGAATGTAAGAAGCGAACGAAGAACATTCGTTTCTAAAGTCCAGAAAAGTCGTTCTTCTGCCGGTTTTCGTGCCTAGAGCACCTAATTCTTACCGTGTGCTTTGGCAATCGATCACGGAAATACATGTGCGGGCAACCGCTTCCCACGAGCATCATACCTCTGCTTCAATACGGTATCAAAAGCCCCGTCCACATCCCGCGGCTCGTAATCCAGTCCACTCGCTCCTTGCGTAAGCACATGGAGCCCATAATTCTCCTTGATCCAATGGGCAACCATGTCCATTCCCGCCACTGCACCACTCCCTGTCCAGATGTTGCCATCAACCACCCACTTCTTGTCCTTCGTCCAGTTGACATTGGGAAAGCGCTCCTTTGTCCAGTGGAATTCCTGGTTGTTAATTGTGGCCGTTCGGCCGTCAAGGGCCCCGGTTGCAGCTAGCACGAAGGAACCGGTACAGGTCGTGAAGACAAGCTTGCCGGCGGCGACGTGGCGGCGGGTAAAGTCAGCGAACTTCGGTGAAAGCATGAAGGACACGGGATTGGGACCACCCAGAAGAAGGGCATCCAATTCCGGACAATCATCGATGGTGTTGGTGGGGACGATGGTTACGGAGCTCGTGAGCAGGTGGACGGGGTCGAGAGTCTCGCCAATGTGGTGGAACACAAAGTCCGGCGCATCGGAGAGGACTTTTTTGTCGATTGGGACATAATGCTGCATGGCATTGAGGAGAGTCTTGCTGGAGGAGTTGAGTACATCAAAAGGGCCCATAACATCTAGTACCTGGTAGTCGTATACCAGCGCGCCGATATGGAAGGGAGCCATTGTTTCGAATCCGAGGCGTTGGAATTCGGTAACGGGGAAATATTTTGTGCAATAGAGCGGACAGAGCAGGAAGATGCTTGCGATTTACTTGGTACTTAAGCAAGTGGCGATGGCATTGTTCTTTCATAAGGATAAATGGTCGAAGCAGAAGGATGGCACTCACTGTCCAGTACCCTTGCTGATAAATCGACTGAAGCCTTGCGAGCATTATACCCGCGAATTTGAGGTTGGAATTGTCTACGGTACCAACCCCGATTGAGGTGTACTTTCCCGTTCAGGTTATGATACCAGATGCGGAAATGTGGAACCCGGACTGATTCCATCCCGCGTATATACGCTGTATAACTTACCTTCCCACAAGTCAGTACTATGTATTCTCAACAGAACGAATCACGTCTAGCTAGTATGAGAGAGTGACCGCAGTCCAAACTCGACTCCACCGCAACATGTGAGGAAATATTTGTGCAGGCCGATACCATCATACGTCACCGGAGAACCGCATACGATTGGCTCTGCTATGCCTCGGATCCGATGGTGGGATGCTCAAGTCTTGCAACGGAAATGTATTTGAGGCGGTAGAGAATCAAGATTCGCCCCTAGTTGACGTGGTACTCTTTGCGGCTATGTTTCTTGTCACTCCAGATCCTACCAAATTTCTTTGCATGCATGGCATCGCCAGGCTTCGGCACTCAGCAAGTACAGCCCTTTCACACAACTAGTCATTGTTACATAATTTTCGATTACCAGCTTGTAACTGCCACCAATTGTCTCCATTTGTGACATACATACATAGATCCGACACTTCTCGTGTCTTGTGAACCTCTTTAGTCGAGCTTCTGCTTAGGCATGCTCCTGGATGGTAGCCTTCTCGGGACAATAGTCATGACTCTGACTATGACCGCGACCCTGAGCTCGGCCACGCCTCAGACGACTTGCAACGCCCCCATCCCCGGTCTCGACGGCGGTATGATTTGTGAAATATGGCGAAGGATCCAGAACGAAGACAGAGACAACACAGGCCATGACAAAAAAGGGGATAGACGAGTACCAAACATATCTGAAGGCATCGCTATATCCCCAGCGCATCGCCTCCGTCGCAGCCGCAACCATTTCTGCAGGGAATCCCGCCATGGCTGAAGACTGCCTCGATGAGACGGCTGCAATCAGCAGGCTTACGTCTGCCACCGGGAATCCAAGAGGCACGACTGCTTCCACGACACGCTTTGGGACACTTTTTAGCACTCTGTCGTTGAGCACCGTGTTGAAGATGGTACTTCCCATGGCTCCACCAAGATAACGGACCGCCCCAAGCAGCCCATATGCGAGGCCAATATCGCGCTGAGGCACGTGCAGGCCCACCGTGCTGTAGCCGATGACCATGACCCAAGGGAAAGGAATATTGGCAATGCCTTGGATAATCAGGCCACCGGCAATGCGGTGAGGAGTAGCAACAACCAAAAGACCGCATCCGAGGGCTTGAATGGCGTTGGCAGCCAGCAGTTGTAGAGGGATATGCTTTATCTGAGGAACAAGAGCTCCAAGTATTCCACCCCCAATGAGAGCACCAATACCAGTGGGGACATTGTACCAGCCGGCAGTGACTTGGTTGGATGTGAATACGTACGCGATTTGCTGAGGCATGAATGTAGTCAGCGCAATGTGCGCGAGACCTGAAGAGAACATGATGATAATCAGAGAAGTGAACTCTTTGAATCTTCGGAAGAGCCGGTAAGGGAAGAGCGGTCTGGCCGCCCGTCCAGAGAAGTCCCACGCGAATGTGCATAGGAACAACACACCGCCGATAGTCAATGGCACGATGACGGCAGCACTCTGCCATTCATACCGGGTCCCAGGCCAGCCTAAACCGAGTAGAAAAACTGTCACTCCAGCCGTGTAGAGGAAGATCCCTACGTAGTCCAACTCGTACAGGACTTGGCGTTTTGTGCGATCCTGAAAAATCCGGCGCGGAGGGTGGTAGAAGATGACTGTGCCCACGACAGCGATGAGCCCAACAATATCACCTAGGATGAAGAGCCATCTCCATGTAGCGTTTTGAGTGAGGCCGCGACCCATCAGTGGGCCAAATGTGCCCAACACGGTCAGATTGATCTCGGTTGTAGCCATGCCGAATGATCGCCACTTGTTGGGTAGAATCTCTGAGATACCCACATAGATGCTGCGAAGAAAAACCAGATTAATAATTTAGGTCGTTCAAAACTGCTGGTGGTCTGGATGTAAGGAGACTCACACAAATGTGATCCCGGTGCCAACTCCCAGAAGCGTCATTGCGGCAACGATTTGTTCGAAACTCTGCGCCGTGGCTCCAACCAAGTGTCCGATCAGCAGGATGATTTGACCGGTGACAATAACATCCTTTCGGCCGAGGTAGTCGCTGAAGCCGCCGGCAAGGGCGAAGGCGACGCTGCCGCCCAAGGAGAAACCCCCGCTAACCCAGTTCAGGTTGTTGAGGTTGCCCTGGAGTTCCATCGCCACCGAGGTCGCTATGGAGGCGAATGAATTCAACGTGAAACTGAGCGACGATATGTACGTGATTCCGAGGAAGAACACTGCCGCCCAGGTCGTGGCTTTGACTTTGCCATCGGCGTCTTCATCGTTTAGCGCAGCACCATGAGGGTCACCGTGGTCGTCATGGATATGGGAGTCAAGCAACTCCTCGCCAATCTTGTGTATGGAGGGTTTCGGCTGTCCTACCATGGAGATCTGCTCGATGTTCTCTTGCAGAACGATATCGACACCCATACTGATAGCTTCGTTGTTTGTCTTGCTGTTGTGGAACTATGTGGGTGGTTGAGCGGGGGAGAGACTAACTATGATATAGATTGCGGCAGTTGCTGAGCCGAGAGAATCGAGACAAACCTGGAGTATATTTGCTCCGTGCTGGCTATGGTCCCAGACCCGGGGCCCCCACGAATAATGCATCAACCGAGTTGGAGAGGAAAAGGCACGGTACTAATCGACATAGGGTTTGGGTAGCTATTTACCGCTCCTGATCGGCATGTAGCCAATCGATTTGTATGAGCCTCTAAGACTCAGACTTAGCTTGAGGTACCCAAATTTCACCGCCTTGTGTAATGAATGCAAGAACTTTATTCTAGCGGATGATCCCGGCCTCCTGCAAAATGGCGGTAGAAACTACCCAGTAGCCAAGGCAGTCTTCTCACAAGTGAGTGCAAACTTTGTCGACCGGACCCTGTGGTCCGAAGGTGTTGTTGGAGCTTCAATTATTACCAAGGCAGTCTCAGCCGAGTGTGTATCTGTTCAAGAGAGGGAAACCACCCTGCTCAGGCTCTATCCTTCTGTAATCGGAAGACCTCCTCGGACTTGCCATTTTGGGTCGGCATTTCCCTGTGGGTTCCACTTAAGCTTCACAGAAGCATGGACAAGTTTAAGGGATATTAACTTTATATTACTCCGGAGACGAGATGCCTTTACAGCGGTTGCATCATGCTTCGAGCCATGTATTAAGGTGGATAGGAGAAAAAGAGGTCGACAACTCGACCGCCATACCGGACAAATTCATCGTTTGAAAAGACCTGCCATCTACACAGGAACTCTAAGACTTGAACCGGATCTGTAGGGAACGGGCCAGTAGGAAGCTGAAACGGCTAAAGACGCTGGACTTGTTCGGGCGTTGGTTGTTCAAGAGAACGGGTTTTGGTTAGCCTTAATCGACAGAAGCCCAAACAACTCCTCCGTAATTTTACTCCCTCCCAAGATACTTTGTTCGTGTCCGTCTCTAGTTGTTTGATCATTATTGGCCCCATATTTACAATATACAGGTATCGGATATATTAATCTATCCGGCCTCTTGCCAGCAGGATAAATTAACGGGGAATCTTTATCCCATGGCTAAACATGTACATGGATATTCTAGATTATCTGTTATATCATGAGAGCAAGCTAGCCCGAACCGGTCGCCCATTGTTTCAATGTCGAGACGGGTGTCCCTGTTATAAAATCCTCAATCTCCAGAGTTATTGCCTCCTCACTTCAACAATTTCGTAACAAACCTCGCCTTGAGCAACTTGGTTGTCATCTAGAGCAGAACAACATACCAGACACACATCGCCCCCCAAAAACCCAGCGTGCGGTTTTAAATCATAATGGATCTCTTCCCGCGAGGAAACGACGCTTTGAAAGTCAATCCCTCAACAGGAGCTGACCTGGCTCTTTCGGAACACGGATCTGACTGGCTTTGGGCTGTCACAGCCGCCTACATACTCTCCTTCGTAAGTCCTCTAAATTGCTTCGATGCAGAAACCTTTCCCCATATGCATATACTGACACTGCTTATTTAGTTGGTTTGCTTGGTCCCCTCCTTCACAGCTCCGGAGAACAAAAGAGTCTTCAATTACACTTTGTCCATGGCACTACTGGTTGGGGCAGTGACATACTATGCTCAAGCTTCCGACCTTAGTTGGACAGCTGTCGAACAGGCCAACCAGCTGACCAGACAGATCTTCTATGCAAGGTACATCAACTGGGTTGTATCATTTCCAGCGTTGATTCTGTCGCTTGGTCTATTATCAGGTATCTCGTGGACCGCCATCATCCTGAATATTGTACTCTCGTGGTTCTGGGTCCTCACCTACCTTGTTGCCGCTTATACCGCCACCAGCTACAAATGGGGCTTCTTCGCTTTCGGCACCTTCGCCTATGTAATTCTCGCAATGAGCACCATCAACGAAAGCCGTGAGTCAGCGCAAGTCCTTGGCATCGGTCGCGACTATATCATCCTATCTGGCTGGGTCAACTTGATGTGGCTGCTATATCCTGTTGCATTCGCATTGAGTGACGGTGGTCATGTTATTGGCGTCACCAGTGGTTTCATCTTTTTCGGTATCCTCGATATGCTCCTCTTGCCAGTGGCGGCGGTCGGCTTCATGGCCTTATCACGCAACTGGGATTTTGCTATGCTGCAGCTCGACTTCAGCGAATACCGTGGCGTCCGCGGTGTTGAGATCTTGTCGGACAAGGGTGGTCGCTCTACTGCGGGTGCCGATAGCTCCTCACGTTAAAACTCACGAGGGGTGGCCTACGTGATTCACGCTCTCGCAGTGTGTCTATTATGAGCTTTGGATCAGGCAGAAAAGAGGTCCAAGTGGACAGTTGTGTGGTTTTGTTGTGATGTCAACCGCGATTTGGGGTTTTCTTACGCTGTTTGCTTAGAGAGGTTGCATTTGGGATGTTTCTTTCTTGCAGGGGCTGGTGTGTTGCCTCGTGTTAATGAGGATGAGATATTCCACTCGTTCAGCCAGGATTCAACATTTTTATAGGTCAATAACGGCTTTCGGTTCTTAAGAGCTTACCTTTTGAACCTCACTTGAAAGATACTCGTATGTTCTGACTTTGTTTAAGTTGACTAAGATACATCTTATTATACCCTTCCAGCTTAGTGAGTGGATTTGAAGTTTCCTCAACACAGACGCCGAAATCGCCAAATAGCTGTGATCAAGGCACGAGAGGGTTTTAAACGGAGTGTCCGGCGGATAGAACCAACTCCCAATCCGCGACCATTCTACGCCCGTAGGAATTCTTGGACGACTTTAGAGAGGAATGCTATTCTAGTTTTATTCGGCAAAGATCAAACACGCCTGCTATTTGTTGACTTACCGAACGTATCAGGAACAGTGGAATATGCAATACCCCTGGTCTGGCGCCCGGCCTTTAAGCACTTCAAGTAGGATTACGCACGAAACAATTGTTTCAACCGTGGCGCTCGGGGCTCCTGCGAGTCGAATATAGTTTCACTCTACACCATACTGCAAGTCTCGTCCTCTGCAACAGTTTAGCCCAGCTCCAGCAGTTTCGTTGTACATTGTTGGCCAAACCCAAGACTTACCAAACCATCGCCGCTAAGTCTTATAGGAGCAATCATCATAGAGCAAAAGCAAACATTGTCGACCCGTCTTATCGGAGTAACGACCATCGGTAACAATGTCAAACTCAAACAATCTCCGACCAATCGTCCGGTATGTGACAGGCTACAACGAAGATGACGGCACATCTGTGTTCCAGACCACTGTAGACAACAACCCACCTGCAAGAGAGTTCCCCGATGGCATGAAAATCTTTGACTGTTACCTAACGCAAGGTTTTCCGGTCGACGTGGCGGCCGCCAAGGATATCCGCGCATACGAGGATCTCATCCAAGACCCTCCAGGGATCGTGATCCCCCGACGGGTCCGCAGCTAGAATCGTCGATCTTCCGCCGGCATACACTTCGCCCATGCATCGCAGCATGAGTCTGAACTACAACTTTGTCATTGAGGGAGAGGTTGAAGTGCTCCTGGACTCGGGCGAGACAAGGACTTTGAAGCGAGGGGACGGATTGGTCCAGCGTGCCGTTAACCATGCGTGGAGGAACACAAGTGAGATGAAGTGGGCGAGGATCACCGCCGTTGTGTTGCCCGTGCAAGATTTTCAAGTTGGAGGGCCAGAAGGAAAGATGCCTAGGGGGACAGAAGGGGAGAAATAGTCGGAAGACGTGTGAACAAGGCTCGCTCATGTGCTGCTTACTGAGTTGGAATGACATGTGGTCTGCTCAGGAACTCAGTTTTGCCTCCAGGAGTAGCACATGTGTCGATTCGCATACTCGCTGTTACACTACTTAAATTATAAGACTTTGATCTCAACTAATCGCATGTTGCAGGACATTTGTTGAACTCTGATCCGAGTTGTAGACTCGTAGTCAGGGATGCCATTATACTTGTCCGTCATGTCGAGAGTTCTAAGCCTCGGGATGTATGGCCACTAAGTATAAAGTGCTTGGGACCGCAATTGCCGATTTTTGGTGACATATACACAGCCTTTTTGTGTTAGCTGTATCTCACAAACTAGCCCACCAGGCAACAGGTCCTTGATCCTCCGGTTCTTGTCGTACAAGCTGTAGGTCCAACGTGCAACCGGATTAGAGCGGCGGAGTCCCAGACCGGGCCGCTCTGTCGCGAGCCAGTGCCACCCGAGCAGCATCGTTGAAAGTTCGGTAGTCTATATCTTCCAGCCCAAAATCCCATCGATCGCGTCGACTCTTGAACGTGAAGCTGGGCAACACACCATAATCAGTTCGTACCATTTTGCCTGGGGAAATTTGTAACAGTCCCCAACATGATTCAAAGTCACATCAAAAAAGTGATCGTCGTGGGTGCAGGCCCTGTTGGCCTCCTCACAGCCCTGCTGTTGGGTCAGAAAGGGATTCCTGTTGATGTGTTGGAAGCGAATGCAGGGGTCAATAATTCTCCCCGTGGTTTAGCGTACGGACCTGCTGCGGTGAGGTATGGCAGCCCAGTTGCTCCATTTCCTTTTCTTGAACCTGTACATACTAAAGTTCTGGAACAGGGTTTTACACCGAGCTGGTATACTGGAAAAGGTAATCGAAAGTGGATTCGTTGCCGGCAGCATCTCTTGGAGAAAACCAGACGGAAAATTCATTATTGGATTTGATCGGTTGGACACTTCCCTGGAAGGTCTGCCACACACCGTCATCTTGCCTGTAGGCACGCTTTCAGCCCTGCTAGCTGATGAAGTCCAGAATTACCCGAGTATCACTGTCCACTGGAACCATCGAGTTACCGGAATCGGCCAGGATAATGGTAAAGCCTGGGCCCAAGTTGAAGAGACCTTGCCAGGAACCGTCAAAACAATGGTGGCGGATTTTGTCATCGGTTGTGATGGAGGGACCAGTGCTGTCAGGAAGGCACTGTTTGGCGGCAGCTTCCCTGGATATACCTGGCCTATGCAGCTAATTGCTGTAAATGTAGGTGTTGGCGTCGAACGCTGTCACTCTGACTTCTGGAACGGGCCCGCTGACTCTAATGGACAGGCGTCTATTGATTTTGACAAACTGGGCTTCTCCGACGCCCAATGGATCGTCCACCCAGAACACTGGTTTGTCATTGCCAGAATTGACAGTTCACAACTATGGCGTATTGTTTACGGCGAGACTTCTGGTCTGTCGATCGACGAGATCCGGACTCGTCTGACAGAGAAATTTCGCGAACATCTCCCGAGCAACCCAGAACCCGAGGAGTACACATTGCAAAGTGTCATGCCGTACTCTGTCCACCAGCGATGTGCCGAGAAGATGAGGGTAGGAAGAGTATTATTGGCGGGAGATGCTGCACATCTTAACAATCCTATGCAAGTGTATATTCCTTAGTGGAACTCCCTTTATCGATATGCTTCAATTTGGAGCAGGAGATTTCTGATAAAAGCTTCTGACCCCGTTCGCGCAGATTTATTTATCTCGCACTGACATGAATTATGCAGGGGTGGCCTAGGTCTCACAACAGGCGTCGCTGATGTAGGCAGTCTGATAGACTGTCTCTGCGGGATCCACAACGGAGCAGCGTCCTTGAACATCCTCGAGAAGTACAGCGAAATACGTCGACAAATTTTTCTAAATAACACGGACGTTATTTCCACGACGAATTTCAAACGCATCATGCAAGACGCTGAAGAGATCGCTGAGAGAGATCCATTCTTTCAGCTTCTGGCGCAGGCGAAAACCGATCCTCACATCGCTGCGTCTTTGGCCAAGGTGGGTTGTGCCTGTCTTGTTCCATCGAAATCTCTGACACGCAACCACTTAGCATGACTTGAGTATTGGCTTTGATATGAGTCAATTCTATGATATACCCTCTGATGATTGAGACGGCAATCCATGAGGATGATTCAGGAAGAACGACGTCGGTATCTGTTGCGAGGGGTTGAGAGATGGTTGGAGTACTGTGAGACACAGAAACGCTGTAATGGCGATGACTTTGCCCTCGATGTCTCTGTGGCCGTCCCCATCTGTACTGGTAGGTACATAAGTATGCCAGAGGCGTTATATGCGAGCCAATGCCAGTCATAGATTTGAACAACGGAAGTCTCAACATCGAGCCCAGTCAAAGGAAATGGTTTTGTCATTACACGTAGTTGGGTCACATGAACTTTGATAGAGCAAAAGCGGCGGCACTCCAAGCGATTTACCAACTATGCCTGAAACGGCAGCGCCGCCTAGATGCAGGGTAAGGGACGAATTTCCCGGCAACGACCCCACATCTGAAAAGTACGGACTATTAAATCTCGATTACTGACCTTGACCGCAGCAACATGCAGCCCGGCAGCGGAACTATGCAATCGGCTAGAGTCAAGAGGCAGAAAGTGAATGTCGCATGCCATCCGTGTCGCCTCCGGAAGACGAAGTGCGATGGACGCGGACCTGTGTGCCAGCCCTGCCAGAAAAAGGGCGGAACTGGTCTAACATGTACCTGGCAAACCAGTATTGCGCGTACGCTTCAGCCTCCATCAATACAGCACGCCGAAAGAGTTGATACTCGACCTCCGCTGCCACCTCCGGCCGCTCCGCTCGAGAGTGTTTGGCCACAAGGCACACCCGCACCTCGAGAGCCACATACCTACCCGACAAAGCCTACTATCTATCCGTCCACTTTTTCTCACCAGTCTCACTCGCTATCTGTAGCAAGTCCTCAGCCACGTGGCGCCGGCGAGGGTGATTTTACAGGACTGCACGAGCGCCAAGATTCTGCCGTGATACTGCCGCAGGTATCCCCTTCGGAACAGTCAGTTCATGCTATTATCGGCGCCGCCTTGGAAGACGATGGTGGGGCAGGTTTCTTTGGCAGTTCCAGCGCTGGAACCTTTATGCAAAGTGTGAAGAAGATGATTCAGCAAAAAGTTAGCGGTGCGACACAACCGGACATTCAATCTTCGAACCAACACCCGCAAGGTCGATATTTGCCAGCTTCCGGCAATACCAATATCACGCACAAACAGTTTGACTATGTTCTACCTCCTCGACGCAGGGCAGATACTTTGATTTCTGTCTATTGGAAGTATGTTCATGTCCTCTACCCTTATTTGGACAAAATCCAGGTCCAGGAGGATTACGAAAAGCTGTGGAAAGGGGACGACGGATCGATAGAGGATGAGCGGTCGTACATGTGCTTACTTAACACCATATTTGCCCTGTCCAGTCAGCTTGACGAGTCAACACCGGTCGAGGAGCGAGAGCACTTTGCTCACACTTACTACACTAGAGCCAGAAACCTGCTGGATATTGTGGAGGGCGGATCTGTACGCTCTGTGCAGTCTTTCTTGCTTCTGGGGCAATACTTCCAGAGTACCAACGAACCCCATCCATGTTGGATGTTTGTAGGACTTGGTATACGCACAGCACAAAGCCTTGGGCTTCATTTGCCCGAAACCAGCGAAGGTGCCGTTGATATCCGGACACGAGAGCTCTTACGGAGGGTGTGGCATGGATGTATTCTTATGGACAGGGTTGTTTGCATGACTTATGGTCGCCCTTGCATGATAGGTCCGAAAGCGGCTATTACGGTACCTCTTCCCTTACCGATCGAGGAGGACGAGCTCATGTGTGGGGCTGCCCAAGAGCGTCCGGCGCAACTGCAGCGATCTTGTGCAGCGGAGTTCTACGTCTACTCCCTCAAATTGTACGCGATTTTACACGATGTGTTATTTAACTTCTACTCGGTCAATTTTCAACAAACTCGTCCACTGGATGCTGACAAGTACTTCGGGTCCTTGAGCGAAGGGCAATCCTCAGTCTTCGAGATTGAGCACAGACTCTTCAAATGGGAAAACAGCATCTCGGACCACTTGAAAATTGCTTCAAAACCTCAAGATGATGAGCTAGGATCCCAACTGTATCGCCAAGCTGTCATCCTACATCAAAGGTACGCTTTCCAAGAAAAAGGGAAGATCTATGAACAAGGTCTGACTGCTGCTAATCATGTCATAGGCAACTGCATGTTCGCTTGTTACTCCTGAGACCTGTTCTGTCGAGTTTTATCACCACCGAGTTCTACAACGGAGATCGATCCGTTCCCTTGGCAAGTGAGCTATCTCATAGAACATTTTTACAATGTGCAATTATCTGCGTCAGCGTGGCGCTAAAAGCTATCGACACAATCTATCAAGGAAGAGGCCACAATGCTGGCGACATCGGAAGTCTTGCAGCGTGGTGGTATAATGTCCTTTACTTATACACGTCAGCAACGGTTCTCATTGCCGCTCGCCTCAGCCCTGCGATCATGGTTGATGTTTCCGAAGAGTCAATTCTTGATGGCTGGCGTAAGGCGATGGAAGTTCTCGACTGGTACAGCCCGTTTGGGACATCCATAAAACGTCTGACGACGACTCTGCGCCTCCTATTCGACGCTGTACCACAGCAATATTCTCGCTTTAAGGGCAACTCCCGAGGGTTCCTGCCAGATACGTTATCAGCTACCCGAAATCTCGACCAAGGCTCGCCATCCATGCCATCATTGCGCCCACTAGAACCAACCAATATTGTCGCAATGCCTGTGGCAGAGACTGCGGACGCTTTACCGCAAGATGATACTCGTACTTTTTCTAGCGAATGTTTTCTCGATTTTGACACGGTATTTGACCCCAACGATCTTTCTTGGCTTATGACCATTCCGCTCGACGGTTAATTGCTGAGTCGTTGAACTCAAACAAGTGTTCGAGGACTCAGATGCGGTCTGGCGAATGTATCTAAGGGGAGAAATATGTCCATAACTCCATAGGAATAATGCCGTTCCTCAAAGAAGAGGCGCCACATTTCTCTTTCTGTTCCTATAGATACACAGACCGGGTAAGCTTGGTAAGTCCCGGTCAATCAGGAGCAGGTATCACTCCGAAATTGCCTTTTCGCTTTCGGATCATGTTTTCATTGGATCATCACTGAAGCTTCGGGGCCAATTTTGACCGAGTCCCGATTTGTACCATCGCACCACTTTTACCGGAATGTCGCGGGGCGTTACAGATCATATGAATGAATTTTTCGCCCAAGAAGACTGTCTGCTCCCCCCATATTCTCAAAAAGCAAACAAACAATGAGACATCCCTCTCTTCTACTATTCAAAACCGAAACATGGATTCCTCCATTTATTTGCGAGTGGCTAAAATCCTTGGCGTCACTGGATCAGCGTGGTTAGGTGGTGAGCACTCACCCGTCTGAGAGTACCGATTGCTATTACATCAGCTTGCCAAGTTCTTTGTGAATTTTTTGAGTGGTGCTCAGGCGAAATAGCTCTTATGCTAACAACAGAACAAAAAAGGCAATATCGCTGGTCTTTCTCTTCTGGTCACGCCGGCTCTGCGCCATTCCAGCACTGACGACGGCGTGTCGTCGAGCACTATATCGAAGCAGTGGAGATACATCTACGAGTCTGGAAAGGCTCAAAACCCTCCAATCGCGGCTGTCGCTGCCGTGGCGTATCTCTATCTTGCATGGACGGCCCGTGGGCTCGCACCAACGAGCCAACTACCGCTATACTACGGCTCAGCGGCGGTTCTCACGCTCGGGATCGTGCCTTTCACCCTCATCGCAATGTCCTCTACAAATAACAAGTTGATGCGGCATTCGGAGGCGCTATCCAAAAACCCGAGTGCATCCCTGCAACCGTCGAGCGATCAGGAGGTAGATGAGCTTGTTGCGAGGTGGACGGTTCTGAACGGGATTCGAAGCCTTTTCCCGTTGACAGGAGCTATTCTGGGGGTTGTTGCTATCTTAGGGTGATGGGTTTAGAACCTAGTGTAAACTAAACATCCTCCTCTCTCCCTCTCCGTCTGCCTCTGTCGCCCTGTCTCCCGCCTTGCACTCATGAGTATTCTCGGTTCTTTCGAACGCCGAGAACAGCCGAATCTTCAATGACGAGATGTTCTCCCTGGTTGTCCTGGTAATAAGTCACGGACCCAGTTTGTTGCGTGCTCTCGTTCCATCCCCTTTTAGAGGATGAAAGGAAAACTCGAGTCGCAGATTAACATCTGCTGAATGAGGAAAACTACAAAACTAAGAGCCCTCTTCCCCATCTTCTATGTATAGTGAGTGCCGAGAAAGGGGGAGAGGACTGACATTTTGGAGTGGCTGATGGGGCCTTCAATTTCTCTCCATCCACGAATAGACCGTTAAGTGGTCGGGTTGCTAATCGAACGAGTCAGTAGTTAGAATTCAACGATGTCGAGATTATTAAAAGGGGTACCTAGGTTCAGGAGCCAGTTAGAATAATGCTGGGGAGAGGTCGGGGCGGGCAACCTTCAAGCCTCTTCTTAGATGCGCCCACTACCATGAGACGGCCGAACACATCAGCCTTGGAGCTGCAGGAAGCCTGCTTGCTTACACAGACTGCTCTCGATTTGCTTTTCTTTCGGTCTTTCTTTCATCCTCCACCGGTGAGGCCCGCGTCGTAAAGGCACCGAGTCCGAGTTGGTGTCAGTCGAGCATGGTAATATGCGTCACCCGGTCATACTTCCGACTGGTCAAGACGGTTCCGGTCATAGATGCGTCCGGTATTGTCACAGTTTGTAAAGCTCTTTTCCCCACCACTCTGTTCTCGAAGACGGGTGAGACCTCGCTAGCTAGCATGAGGCCCCCGGATTTTGCTCCATATAAAGTTTGCATGTCGGCATTGAAGACCTCATCCCTCCAGCGAAACCGAACTCAGCATAATTGCAACCATGTCGAACACAATGACAACCACCGTCTCCGACAGCGAGGCCGTGCGCCTTCCTCTGCCCACAAAAAAGGCTGAATTGGAGCCAGCTCCAATTTACGACGTCTACAAACTCTCTGATGAGCGCACAAAAACGCTGCGGAAACTGTTCGAGAAGGGCCATGTTACTGTGGCGCCGCTGCGCAATCCACAGCTCATCCTCCATAGCCATCTGCCACATGTAGGAAATTCGTACACTGCTGCCAGAATGCCAATCGTTGTACCCCCTGATCTGACGCCATGCAGCTTCTAGGCTCTGCATACGGACTGGGCGCCGATAGCGAGCAGCTGACTAAAACTTACGAGCACGACGTTCAGACGTTGGTCAGGATCGACGAGAGCTTTGTTCGGGGTGATAAGATCACCAAAGAGAACTGGAGGCAGTTCCTTGGAAACAAGAAGTTTGTGCAAATCTCTTTCCGGTCGCGTGTTCCGAGTCGCTGAATTGTTCACAGGTACACCGTGGCCTACGTTGACTTTTTCGATGAGGAGGTTCGAAAGAACGGCGGCGACTGGGAGAAGGTTGTTCAAGAGTACTTGTATTCGGGAGCAGAGCCTCTCATCAATGGATTCTGTGGCGGTCGTAAGTTTTTCTCCCCCCTCCCCCGCGGTCAGTTTGCATTGGACTTCAGCACCAATAAGTGACAAAAAGTTGCGCATCCTTTCATTCATCTCGCGTATGGATATGAGTTCCGGATTCCCGAAGTCGTCACGCAGGCTCTGAGTCTCGGGTGCACCGAGTACGTCGTGTGCCACGGACTGATCGACAATCCACCTCCGATTCCTTCGTCATACCAAACCCGCAGCCTCGCCGAGGTCATCAAGCGCGTGGAGAATGATCACCGTTTCGACGGGATTGTCAACTTCCCCGGCACCGTGAACTTTGGCATCGTGCTGCAGAGTCGCTTTGAGGACTTTATGGAGCACTGGAATGCCTGGGAAGTCACGGACCCGGTCCAACAACTCGAACACTGTTGCGACCTGTCGGTTTTGCTGGCGATCAGCGCCGGCTACGGTGACGGAAAATTCGACTTCTTCTACGCCCACATCTTGACCGTTGCGCATGCCTTGCGGATTCTGCTCCACTATTTCCCCACCGACAGGAGGGTTTCAATCCTGCGGCAATACGCATTCTTCACCATCTTGATCTACATCCTCCAAAAGAGACTCTCCTTTGGAATTGAGCACATCGAGTCGGTCGACACGAACGGCCGTGACTGGAAATGGATCACGGAGAGCGCACTCAAGCACAGGTGGGCGTTGGATGACCACTTCTTCAAGGTGGTGCGAGCGCTAAAGGCACTTGCGGAGACATATGGCGAGAAAGACGGCTTCTATCTCAAAGCTGCCATTAAATATGTGACCGAGTTTAATGGCTGGGAAGGGTTTGGAGAAGGTATTATGGGCTTTCTTCCGAGCAGGGACGGGTATATTCCAGCTTAATATGTAGCCAGATTCTCTAGTGTACCCCCACACTCCAGCTCTGGATCAATCAATTAGTAGGTCGGTTCGGCCTTCATTAGAGAAGTGCGTAATAGAGGTGCTGCCTTGTGGTGTCTGCCGTTTGCTCCCATTCAACTGACTATGAATCGACTAGAACATATTGTCGCAATGCTCGTCGCACCGGTTTGCACAAGACGGCTGCGACTGCTCAATTGCACAGGAGGAGTAGAGATGACGCAGCTGTTGAATTTTATACCACTAGTGTCTCGAATAGGCTGGTCGTCGACGTATATACACTTTGAAGTGCCTTTCACGTCGGTAATCGGGCCGACGGTCCCATCTCATTACTCATTGCGTGCTTCAGCATTTCGCCATTAGTTTCAGTGACGAATATATTTTTTGGATCAATACACATTTCTTGGGTCCAATAGGATAAAATTCAATTTGGTCGCTTATCCAGATAGAAGAATGTGCTCAGCCCAACGGTTTTTCGATTTCAGAAGAGGTATCATGCCCAGTTCTGCCATATAGGCTCGTCGAGGAACTCAAAAAAACTGAGCGTATCTGGCATTGCACATTCGTTTGGAAGTCCAGGAAGTTCGACTCCGAGGTCAGAAGTCGGGTTCTCTGGTTGAAACCTCCGGGTTTGCTCTGCTTTCCTTGCTTCATGCACGGCCTTAAGGTCTTGTATTTTCGCGGTCACCGTCATCCAGACCAATGGAACACTGCGTGGCAAGGTGTTTGAAGGTGTGGAGTCAGCCTCTTGATTATCTCGCAGAACGAGCTCTCTAGCTTCTTCCACCGTCTTCGACAAGTGGTCTAGAACGTCACTGAAGCTCAAATATGTCCCGACGTAGTTCTGGTCCCAGCCATCATGGAGGCAGAGAGAAAGCTTCGACAGGACGACATAGAGATGGCCGACGATGGTAAATGTAGAGTACGGTATGTCAAAATGTATTGGAGCAGGCAAAGAGTGGAATATTTCGAAGAAGTGTTTCGCAGAAGTGAGACAGGCAAACAGCATGTCAAGGCGCGTTATGGAGAAAGACCCGTATCTCGACGCCGGAATATTGTCATCCAAAGCGATCTCGTACAAGAATACCTCGACTGCGTAGTAGTGCAAGAGAAGAGTCACTGCTTCTAATTAGCATGTCATGGCACTTTTCATGGGGCACCTACCACTTTCAGGGATATCAAGAGACATTGACGCTTTGAAATTGCGCAATTCGGCCTCGAGCGATTTTACATAGGCTCCTATGGGCGCGGATATGCCCGAAGATGGATCCCATTCTCTTTGAATAATTGTACGGCTGATTTTGTCACCAAGGTAGTTCAGCTTGGTTAGTTGGAAAAGATAAATGTCGGTTGGGTACTCGACTGCTTCGGAGATCATTGAACAGCACTCATCAGTGTACTTGGTGTATCGGATGGGTTCGAAATCTCGGGCTGTCATCATTACACTATCACACCTTTGTTAGCTCTCAAGGCTCTTCCACAGACTCCTCTGCAGAGAGACATACACCGAAGTTAGGTAGAAACAGCCGAGATATGTTCTTCGCTCTTCCAACGTTCGCGTCGAACCCTCCTGTCGGTCCGGGAGGAAATATTCCCTCTGAGGTTTTGCATATTTTCGAGGAGTATAGTGTTTGTGTAGGCCGAGGTCGAACATCAGTGCCATGATCAAGTGAACAAGGTTGTTGAGTTGTGTGCCGAGATGAAGATTTATATGATACCTGTGACTTTAGTTCAACCTTCCTTCCATTATGAGAAAGGCGAACATACCACGCCAAATAGACGAGAAGACCTTGTAGTAGGTCCAGGCTCTGCTCGCCTTGAGTCAGCATCTTCTGACCGATAATTTCTTTAACTGCCCTTCCCATCATTGTCTGTCGTGGGACGTCGTGCCGACATGCTACCATCATAACAACCACAAAGAGGAAGGGCTTCTTCCCGCGAAGGTCCTCCACAGTCATAAGCGGTGGGATGATAACGAAGGGAAAATGCTGCATTAGTTCTTTTCGGAACACATCTAGCATTAACTGCGCCTCACTGGTGCTTCTGAGAAATTGATCAATATATGTAGTCGAGGAAAGAAAGGGTTGAGCGGGGATTTGCACCGGGCGGTTGCCCACTTTCGAGGCTCCAAGCTCGGAGGCAGTCAATATCGCAGTCACTCCGTCGAGCTTTTGTTCCAGACGTGTTACGTCGCTAGAGGGCGTAAACTCGTCAACAGAGATTTGGAAGGGAGAATGTGAGAATCTTCACACACGATTTCTGCTTAGGTTTGCGCCTGTGCGCCCCGGGCGGCTGTGCGCGGCATGTTTTCTTCAGCCTCAGGCAACTGGGCCAAGGAACCATAAGCTAACTGTTTTCAACCTTGGCGTAAAGCTTCTCATACCGCTTGCAAATAGTTTGTTCCATTTCAGTCTCGCATCGTACCTTGGCGACGGCACATGGTACACACGCTCTCGGAGCGCGGACGCCGCCGGGGTCATCCAGCTGAGTCGATGGTTGAGGCATAATGTTGCAATGGTTTCGGGATATCTACCGCAGCGAGAATGTAAAAGAACGACGGGCGAAGGGAAACAAGCCACCTCCGAGCGCTACAGTTTGAAAGAAACTAGGCGGAGGTTGGCGAAGGGGAGAAACTGGGAGCAGTAAACGCACGAACGGATTTTCCGACGCCGAGCGTGAGCACAAAAGCCGCAGTCTGACTGGTCCAAATAGCCACTGTGGGCAATAAGGGGTGGGGGGAAAATGGGTTGTCAGACAGTGAATTTTCCTCAGCCTCGTCGTGCACATTTGACCAATAAGATCCTCTTCGGTGGAGTCATGTAATGGTTGGATCGGACACGGAGCACTCTCCCAGTGGACATACAATGGCTTAAAGGCACAGTGTTGACTCAGTCTGTCCCGTCGAACTCATGCCTGACATTGAAGTCAGCATGGCATCTCTTGCACCATCGGAAACGTCATCCAAGGCCATTGAACTGGCATTTCGCAATCCTCAGAGGACAGCGAAAACTGAAGAATCGAAGGCGAAAGATCTATCCATTGCGCAGCGAGAGAAGGAGACAGATAGAGCTAAAATACTTCTCGGTCGCCAAGTCTATATTCTCTTCGCTGCTGTCTTCGTCTCTACATTCCTCATAGCACTGAATGGATCAATAATTGCAACAGTGAGTCCTATACGTGCCAGTTGAACAAAGATGAGTGGAGGCTAATGTGTCTGGTGCAGGCGATCCCGAAGATCACAACACATTTCAACTCTCTCAAAGACATTGGTTGGTACGGGAGTGCTTATCTGGTCGCAACGTGAGTCGGATTTTGTTCTTTTGCTGGACAAAGCCTCTTACTCCATCTGCAGCTGCGCTCTGCAACCTCTTGTCGGTAGAATTTATACCCACTTCCCTACAAAGGTGAGATAAATATCTTTCGATAAATTTCCTGCTACTTATAAAGCTTTAGCATACATATGTCACGTTTGCCTCCATCTTCTCGGTCGGGGCTCTTGTCTGCGCCACAGCCGGTTCGTCCAAGGCCCTAATTATCGGAAGAGCAGTGCAAGGCTGCGGTGGAGCTGGCGTTGTCAACGGTGCATTTGCCATAATTGCCGCAGCGGCTTCCAAGGAAGATCGACCCTGTAAAGAAATAGCCGACGATGCCTCCTATACAAGTACCGCTTGCTAAGAACAGTCTCAGTGCTCATAGGTATTGCTGTCAGTCTTACGTCGTAAGTCGTGCTCTTCAGTTCGTGCAGGCACACTAATACTGACTCGAGGGTGTCTATAGGATCGGGACAATCGTCGGGCCTCTAGTCGGTGGTGCTCTGACGCAAGATGTCTCATGGAGATGGTGTCAGTGATTTCTCGCTGCTCTTTGTACTTTGTACACACTAACGCCAACAGGTTTCTACATAAATCTGCCCCCCAGCGGTCTCGTGATATGCGCATTCCTCTTACTGCCAATTCCAGAACAAGTCAAGAAGCAACCGGTGCGATCCAACCTCAAAGCCATTGTCACTAAGGAACTCGATCTTGTGGGTTTTGCCATTTTCGCCCCGGCCTGCGTTATGTTCCTACTCGCCATGATCTGGGGCGGCAACCAGTATCGATGGAACTCTTCCGTCATCATCGGTCTATTCTGCGGCGCTTTCGGTGCGTTCGTCGTGTTCGCCGCCTGGGAGGTGTTCAAGGGAGAAAAGGCCATGATACCTCCAGCACTTGCCAGAAACCGGCTCGTGGTCTTTGGCTGTTTCACGTCCTTCCTCCAGGTTGGAGCGCTGTTATCGCTGAGTTACTATCTCCCCATATGGTTCCAGGTCGTCAAGGACGAAAGTCCCGTAATGAGCGGAGTTATGGTGCTTCCTACCGCAATTGCACAGGCTATTGGGAGTATAATTGCAGGGAAATTAGGTGCGTGACGATATTTCACGTTATGCAAAGCGTTGCTAATAGTGACGAAAGTCCAGGTTATTGGTTATTGCACGCCGTGGGCACTCTTTGGGTGTGTCCTGACCTCCATTGGATCTGGGTTGATGACCACATTCACCCCTTCTACGGGTGCTGGACCCTGGATCGGTTATCAGATCCTTACCGGGACCGGGAGAGGCTCCGTGGTGCAAATGGTGAGGCCTTAACTCTCAGCATTCGGCGTACGTTGTTGACTGACTAAAACGCCCATTTTCTTAGCCAATCACTGCAATTCAGAACTTTTTGCCGGCAAAGGAGGTCTCCATAGCCACCTCACAGGTCTTCTTCTGGCAGTATCTTGGAGGATCGGTCTTCCTTGCCATCTCGGAAACTATCTTCACCAATACTCTGCGGTCGTCGCTGAAGACCTATACCCCAGGCGTCAACCCTGAGAGCATTATCAACTCCGGGGCTTCCGCTGTGAGATCGAGCGTGCCCCCTGATGAGCTTGGCGGCCTTCTCCGCGCGTACAACCACGCCATCGTATCGACCTTTGTGAGTGGTGCCTGATAACCCTACTAGTTGCATTCTGAACTGAAACCTGGTCAAGTATCTAGCAGTCGGTGCGTCCTCGGCAGCATTTCTCACCAGCATCGGCATGGGGTTCCAAAGGCTCTCCAAGAAGGAGAGTAAAGAGAAACCAAAAGGGAATGATGTGTAGTGGTGCCCGGATGCTCCACTCGCCCACAAGAATCTAACCTGGCTATCGCCGCTTTCTCAGTTGTCCGCGGTCGAATGCAGAGAAGTTCGAAGTCACTGTAGATCTTATTCCATCTGTACAATGTAACATGTACAAAAGTTAAAAAGAAGTGATTCAGAAATCTGAATTGTGGTTCTGCTTCTGTTTGCGCTCTGGCCGTGTGCTTTCTTCATCACAATATGGAAAGAACAGCCAATTTGATGCCGATAAATTCATGTACGGGTAAGAAGTCATTCAAGCGCGGCAAATCTCTGATTCATGGGTTTCTCTCGATCATAAAACCATTCTTGCCTCCCCACATAATATAGCACCATTCATGTCCATTCCAAAGCGATACAGCACAGGTCGCCACCGCCTTGTTGCAGGCAAAGCACTACTGTCGTTTCATTCTCTGATCGCCGAAAGTTCACCTCATCACCTGCTCGGAGGTCTTCAAGTTTGACCAGGTGGCTTGCCGTGCTCTTGTCGATTTCGCCGCCTGTACTCAAGGTTACCGTCCCATTTCGAGGTGGCTGGATCTCCACCACGACCTCCAAGTCCGGAAGGTTGATAAGGTAGGGCCTGTATGGGCTCACATAAATCGGACCACGGCTATTCGATGTGAGGGTAGAGCTAGTAACAGTACCTTCAGAGTGGGTATCGCTCAGGACCGGGTCTTCTTGAGGTGCAAACCTGCTTGTTGTGCCGCTTCCCGCGTTGGTTCGAGTTCCTGTCTTTAGACTTTCGTTCCACCAAGAATCTGTAGTCGTAGTCGTCTCCCCGTCCGTCTGTGGTGGAAACCTGTCACTGCTATGAGCCGGATTTCCCGACTCCACTGAAGCTCTTGAATGATTAACTGAAGAGCTCCTAGTACCTTCGCTATTGGCATCTGCGGGGGGCAGCAAACTTGACTGCGTGTCGAATCTCGCGCTCAATAGTGTAGACAACGGCGAAAATGTCGGCATTTCGTACAAATTCTGTCTGCTCGTGAGAGGATGATGACCACGCCGCGGGTGCTTTTTTCTTCCCAGGAGTGAGCAATCGCGATTCATTCTCCGTATCACCGTCCTTAAAGCCGTTACTTGTCCAGGGGAATACTCTGCTAGATCTGGAATAGTCCACTGATCGTAAAGTCGTCCATGTGTAGCTGTGACAACGAAAGTACCAAGCCTTTTGATGAATAGATGGCACAAGAAGCATGTTTCCTTGCTGGTACCAATGAATCGGGGCAGTATCGGGGTTGGTGAGAGCAGGTAATGTACAATCAACTGTATTTCCGCGTGAACACGACAAAGGACTTCTTTCCCTGTAAGGGATATCGAGCTCATTTTAGGTTCGTAGGGGCCGATGTACCGTGGTTTGATGTTTGAGAATAGATGCCGCGTCTTCCTTCTGCGAGCTTCCCTGGCCATGGTTTGTGGGATTCGGTGATATGCGCCAAGTTTGTCGATCTGCGTAATATACTTGTTGTTGAACCATTCTTGAGGATTCAGCTCCACATTCTCCAAATTCATTCGGAATGGCATCTGTCCCTCGGAAGTGGTGATGGCATAGCTCTCCATGACAACATTCTGCAGTTCCCACTCCAGTTGTGAACTGTCTGATCGGAGGGCGTTTTGGAACATTCTCCTTAGGTCGGACAATCTTCTGACGAGATCGATGGCAGCGGGAGTAGAAGCGGCAGCTTGCATTCGGGCTAAAGCCCTTTCAGAGCTGGACGAGCTTGCTGAAT